TGGCCCCGCCCACCGCCCAGCCCACGCCCGCCAAAAGGTCAGGGGCACAGAAGGTGGCCGAGGCCAAGAACCCAGCCCTGCACCGCCTGGGTGATTCACGACCTCTTCATTAATACAGGAGATCTCACTCGCTGGGTCCGGGTCTCAGCGTCTATTTAGGGTACTCTTGGTGTGATGGCCTTTTTGGGTCTGAGCTCCACAGCAGTCTCATGTACCAAAGGGCGCTCCCAGTCTAAAGTGGTTCCCTCTCCTCACTATCTACTCAGTCTGTTTATGCTTTCTAATGCATTGTGTGAATTTTTTTTGTTCACTGACTTCCCCCTGAAAGATCTGTCCGGTGAAAGCAGAGATCCTGTCTACTATGGTCACTGTGATACCCCAGCACTAGCACAGTGCTCCCTGAAGCTAGTACTCAATACTTTTTGAACTGATCAATGAGTTAGTATCCAGAGACTTTCACTGGAACAATCTATTCTGCCCTAGAACTCCTGCTAAAAAGCAGCAGATGCTCACAGCCTTGGGGAAATCATGGCACATGGAAGAAGTACAGGCCAGGTGCCCAGCTGTCCCGGCGTCCGATGGGACAGAGGCAAGAAGGGCATCAAGGTGGACCTCTGAGCGCAGGTCAGATACCAGGAGACTGTTATGCATAAACAAAAGAATGAAAATTAAGCCAACACTTCATACCTTTCCAATTCAATTTATTAAAAGTATTTTTTAAGTAAGTCCCTAATACAATACATGCCCAACACTTTCACATGCTTATCACATTTAATCCTCAAGCCACCTTGAAGGAGGTATCATCAGTGCCACCGAACAAAGGATAACCAAGGCGCAGAGACTGGATAGCTTATCCAAAGCTTTCCAGTCAATAAGTGCAGGAGGATTTAAATTCAGGCTTGTCGGATTCCCAGTCCAGAACTTTCCCCTAATATACCACATTGCCTCTCTGAAAGGCTGAAAGGAACCTCTGCCATTCACATAGCACCAGATCCAGAACTGCTGTGTCCTAGACTCAGGCTGTATGCAGCAGGCAAAGCTGGCCAGGAGAAAGGGGAGTAAGGGAGTCTCAGAGGTGACCTTCCCCTAGGGACCAGAGAAAGTGAAGGCAAGGAGCTACAGTCCAACTCAAGGCTTTCCTCTAACACGTCCTCTCGGTGCATGAGTGTGCTGTGCTAAGAAACAGGCCAGAAGCACAAGGCACCCCAGCCCCAGAGAGCAATATGGCAGGATTGTCAAGTTCAAACTAGAGGAGGAGACCCAATGATATACTTTTTGAGGTCCTTGGGAATGATGGTGGGGGACCCAAGCCACAGGAATGAGAAGGGAAAGAAATATGAACCCACCTCTGGAGTCCAACAGAGAAGCCTGGAGACAAAATTAGTCATCCCCAGCAGGCCCCATTTATGTGCCTCAATCCAGCACTTCTTAATCAACACTAAGCAGTTCACCTTGACCAGAAAGGAAAATTTCCTGCTGAGATGCAGCCCCACTCAGTCTATCTTCTCAGGCTTTTTCCAGGACTTGCGGGTCTCCAGGAAGATCTTGACCAGCGATAAGAGGATAGGTACAGCCATAGGCAAGAAGAGCGGGATGTAGATGGCAAACTTCTGGTCATCAGGGAAATAGAGGAGGTGGAGGAGTGAAGGGTCAAAAAAGGCACGCTCAGAGGATGTCACAGCTTCCTGACTGGCGGCAAAAGCAGATGACAGGTGCCCAGAGGCCAACTCCTCTGCTGCCTTCTGAACTGCAGCCACAGCCCTGTATACCTAGGAAGGGGAGGGGACAGGGATTACCAACACACCCAAGTCATCAGTGGGGAAGGGGCTGGGTGTTTGTGTGCCTCCCATCTACAGAAAGACTGCCTGGATTTCACCCAGAATATATGGGGGTCATGCTCAAAGGGATATGGTTTATTTTCTGAGGGTTGGCTTGAAACCTTCATTCATTCTCATCTAGATTCCCGATGGGGAGCTGAAAAGCCTGGGGCATTTAGGAATGGCCCTTACTGGCTGCCACAACCCTAGGGCACATAACCCATGCCCTGCTCACTTACCTCAGATGCCACATCATCTTTGATGACAATGTTGCTGATCTTGCCCAGAAGCTGGGCCAGAGAGGTGAGGGTCGTAGTGGCTGTGGCCAGGTTCTCCACTGACCGAGCCCAGAGCAGCCGGTCCAGCTCCCAAGTCATTAGCCCTTCACTCTTAGGTCCTGAAAGCAGGCATTTTGGAGGTACCTGGGGATAAGCAATCCCAAAGAGTAGCCTATAGAAACAGCAAAGGATGATCAAAGTTGATGAAACCAGAAGATAGGAGACAACAGCTAAGATTCTTAGACTATCTGCCCTAAGCCAATGATTTCTAATTTTCCCGTGTATAATAGGGGTTCTGGGAGTGAGCAGCAACATCAAGCAATCCAAAGCCCTAAACACGCATCAACTAGTGCTTCTGATTTTACTTTTTTTATTTTTTTGGTTTGTTTGTTTTTGTGTTTTGAGACAGAGTCTTGCTTTGTTGTGTAGGCTGGCCTTCAACTATGTAGCCCCAAATTTGTAGCGATCCTCCTGCCTCAGTCTCCCAAGTACTGAGATTATAGGCCTGTGTCACTATGCCCAGCTGGTTTTACCTTCTATATTGGACTTCCAAGATCTTGTTTGAAAAAGGTTTCATGATAACACCAATGTAGTTAAATCCCCTTTCTACCCTCTCTTTGGACAAATGGGGTACAGGACTGAATTAAGGACACTCTAAGATGACTTCTGACAAGGCATTTGTGCAGTGCTCGTATAAGGCTGCTCCCATGACAGCCGTTGCCCACCAATCAGAATACTCTTTCCTGATCTCAATCAACCAGTTAGTACAAGAATCAACAGCTATTTTATTAAGCATTCCTAATCACACCCAGGTGTGCAGACCTGACTTCCCACGAGTCTATCTAAAATACAAAAACAGATTTCATCGCTACTACCCCTTAGGAGAAAGGTGAAGTGATCCTTAGAAGCCTTTCCTCACTTCCCTGATGTTCTGGAAATGCCAATCATCCCAGCAGGTGAGATTTCATTCTGCTCTACAACTCCCTCTCCAGCCAAGGAGGATGTGGCCACACCAAGTGCACCCCCCAGGACCTCACCGCAGCTGAGCCAGGAACACCTCCATCACTCGTACCATGTCCACCTCGACTCTCACTGGCCTCTCTGAGGCATTATAGGCTTTGGGGTCAACATTGTATACCTGAAAGAGGAGAATGAGGTTGCCACAACATCACACCTCACCAAGCACAGCTCTGTCCTTGCCACCCTGGAGACCATGAGAGAAAAGGATGACAATTTCTCTGTTTGCTAGAAAATACATATCCAGTGGTATTGCTGGGTTTTTTTGTTGTTGTTTTTTTTTGAGGACCTACTATAAAAAGCTTTAAGAAAATTATCTTACTTTACCAAGAGTCCTGTAAAATACATTTTTTTATGCCTTTTGAGAGTTCTCTCTCATGAGAAATATCCAATCTAACAGGAGAGACAATGTTCTCAACCTTGTAAGGCTCCCACAGACAGGGCCATGTAAGATGGACCCAGTGTAGTCCTACATGCAAACAGGTAAGTGCAAAGGGTCACAGTCCAGAAAACACTGACAGAAATATGAGACAGAGGGCTGGCAGAGAAGAGGCACGCGCATTTAGTACCCTCAGCTCCCTGGTGCCACCCATCTCCCAAGGCTGGGCTGTGAAGAACCTCAGAGAAAAACCATAGGAAATTTTCTGGGAACATCTAAAAATCCTGAAGTTTAGGCTGTGGGTCCTGCATAGTGCGATTATTACCATAATGCCACCCCAGCGGGGACTGTGGAAGGCATTGGTGGCCACTGGAGCCCCATCCTTGTCCTGAATGTACAGGGGGGAGTGGGCAAGCTCAGGCACATAGAGTAGAAAGTTGAGCACAGGGTACAGGGAAGCAGCACTGGATCCTGTGGTACAAAGAGAAAGTGAGTCAGAATACAAAAATATGTTGGACCTACAGGTCAGTTCCAGGTCAGCCTCTAACTTGCTGGCCACTCACTCTGGTACAGTCTCCTGAACTGTTGATCCCTAGGACATTCTCCTGCTAAGTCCAAGATCTCTGTGATAAAAGACCTCAAAGCTTCTCCCAAGATGTGCCACATACATGGAGCATAATCTTTACCCCAAAATGCCCCTAGAATCTCCTCCCCTTGACTGCTTAGAAAGCTGTCATGGCCCCTGTACCAAGGCACACTATTGCTACAACTAGCTTTATGCACAGTTCCCTGCTATTCTTCAATGTCTAGCAATTCACATCGGGTTGAAGTTCAAGCCCCTTAACATGGTCCTACATGGTCTAGCACCTGTCTGCCTTGCCAAACTCATCATAGGTCACTCACCCATATTTCAGCCACACTAAACTATGTTGAGCTCCCTCAATGGCTACACTCTTACTCTTCTTCTAACTAAGCTCCTAGCTCCCTTTGCCTGAACTGCCCCTACGTCTCCATACTTAACACTGCCACAAAGCAGTCTCTCAGCCAATTCATTCAATGTTTGCTGAATGAAAGAAAGAACCCAGGAAGAATTTGGTAAGGTTTCATGCGCCACCCTCTTATGAGTCCATACTGGTCTAGCTCGGGGCCTGAAATTCCAGTGAGTGAGAGATTCACCTTGGTTTTCCTGTGTTAGTTCTTGGCCACATCTACTCTTCCTAGGCTCCACTGCCCAAATAAAAAACTATAATCCTAGTTTCAGAGTTCCTCCACCTCAATTAGCTAAACTGTCATTTCTAATTCTGCCTTCATGTACTTGTGTGCCTGTCCTACATGTGTAACCATATCTTTCCTGGATAGCTTTCAAGGAGGGAAACCCAGACTTTTGCCCTTCCTTTGTAAATGTACTGAGAAATAAGCCAGACGAGATGGTGCTCACCTCTAACCCCAGCTACTGAGATATGAAGGTTGGAAATTCAAAGCCAGCCTAGGTCTTAAAGTAAACTTAAAAAGGGACAAGTGCTCTGGGTTCAGTCACAGTACAGTTTAAAAAAATGTACTGGGAGTCATGTTTAATAAACAACTTTGGGTAAGATGGAAATAAAGATGGAGAGATGAAGTCAAGAGAGCAACATGAAAAAAGGGCCTAAATCTCCCTGCCCCTTCCTTAGACCAATAAAAGCTAGGAAGCATCACTATATACAACTGTTTCCAGCCCCCCAGGCTGTGCCTTCAGGTCCCTCCATGGCGTGGCAGAAAGACCCTCATCCTCAGGAGCTCACCCAGCCGGGACTCCACTGGGTTGATAACATGGGGGAGGCTATGCGTGGCCAAGTAGTAGCTGGATGAGGCCGGATCAAAGCGGGGATTTACTCCCAGCATTGCATAGTAAAGGATCTGTGGAGCAAAGAGAGGGAAGATTATTTTGTGCACTGATTTATAGTTCAAGTTCTCTGAAAAAAGATTTGAAGTGCTATACCTAAAATGTACCAATAAACTCAATGAGAGAAAAAAAAAAAAAGATTTGCAGTGCTTTAAAATGATAGTCAGGACAAGGTAAAATATAAGAGGCAAAGTCAGAGCTGAGAGAAAAACAGATTCAGAAAAAAAGAATAAATCCAAGGATAAAGTGAATACATTAAATACATGCTTTGAGAACCACACATTTTACCAGCTTTCCTAACCGCCTCAACAAAGTGGGAAACAAAGAACAGCATAATTCTGTGTCTACAAGATCAAATCAAGCCAGTTATTCAGAAGCAACCACTCCTACTACAAAGACCTCATAAGCATTTCTCCCACATTTTCCCTATAAGGACATGGTATGATAGAGAAAGCCACATTCCTCACATCTTTATTGTTACTAAAGTCATATATGTCAGGAAATTTTTTAAAAAACAAATTCCATAAGGATGGTTGATAGTATTGACATCTAGGTACAACTGCTAAAGAGTTCTAGGATCCATAAGGATGTAACACACTGATATAACTCCCTGAGTGGACATGGAGGGAAAGACAAGATCCAGAACCTACCCCTAAGTGGTAGACACACACATGCAGAGCCCCACTCAGTATGTGCCCTTGTGACACTCACATGCACACTCATACACAGGGAATTCTCAGCTAATCGGCAAACCCTGAGAGATGGCAGAATAGATGCATCTGCAAAGACTAAATACGTATGGATTTTGAAAGGCTCTTTGACCCACTTCCAGTCTCACCTGAGAGTCCACAGAGAAGTTGCCAGCAGCACTGAGGGCGTTCAGGAAGGGCTGCACGTAGCGCTGGACAGCCCCCTCGATGTCCCAGTGGACATCATGGGACTTGGGGTCTGGGTTGAGTAAACTGAAGGTGATCTCATAGCCTATAGAAACAGGACTCAGGAATCAGAAGTTCTGTAGATCAAGGAAGGCGGGGCAGCATATACCAGTGGCTAAGCTGAACTTGTTTCTTTCTCCTCTAGAATGGAGCTGGTTGCCATCATAGAACCAAAAGGATAAGCCAGGATAAGGAATACTGAGTGCTCTAAGAAAAGGTGACTAAAAAAAAAAAGTGTTTTAATAATAAAAATAATAATAATAAAGATGGGCTGGGGATTTAGCTCAGTGGTGCCACTGCCTGCCTTGCAAGCACAAGGTCCTGAGTTCAATCTCTGGTATCAAAATAATAATAATAATATGATGTTGATGAAAGAAAAACAGGTGATCAGAAAAGAAAGGAGTAAGGAGGTTACATACAGGCTCCACTCCTGCTTCACATAATTCATTTCCTCTCTCCCCCTATAGCAAAGTCTGATACCCTACCCAAACTGGACTTGAGAGGCCGCCTCTTATCAGAGCTCCACTTGTCCTCCCGGAGGTGGTCAGCTAGAGCAGCAGCAAGCACATCCTCAGTCAGAGACATGGCCTGGGCTACTTGTATTATGCGGCGGCCAATGATGTTAAAGGCCTCCCGGTGCATTATCCCCCGAACAACTGCAGTCCTCTCAGGTCCAATGTAACTCATCATGTCCTGTATGGATGAACAAGGAAAGAATGCCTGTGACTCAGTGAAGAAAGCAGAAAAGCCCTCTGGCCTTTTGTCACTGACCAAAGGCCTGCACCTCTTTCAGAATTCATGGTGTGGGTTATTAACCCAGCATTTCTGAACTGTATACATATATGAGTATTCGCATTTATTTCCATTCCCCTCTTTTTTCCAGCCGACAGGTCCAGGCAGTATCTAAATCTTCAGGGGCTGGTAAAATGATGAAATGGAAATCGAGAGACGGCATGCTGAGCAAAAAGAGCAGAATTTTTTTTTTAAATGCAAAAGTTGATCTACAAAAATGGCACAAAGCAAAAGGCAAGTATAAAAATAGTCACAGGGCCAGGGATTTAGCTCAGTGGTTCCGGTGCCTGCCTTGCAAATACAAGGACCCGAGTTCGATCCCCGGTACCAAAAAATTGCCCGGACGTGGTGGCGCATGCCTGTAATCCCAGCACTCAGGAGGCTGAGGCAGGAGGATTGCTATGAGTTCAAGACCAGCCTGGGCTACATAGTGAGTTCCAAGTCAGTCTCAACTACATAGTGAGATCCTGTCTCAAAAAAAAAAAAAAAAAAAAAATTCACAATAGAAATAGCGAGAAAAGGGCTAAAGGTGTAGGGGAAGTGGGAAGGGTAGGGGAAAGAAGTAAGGGAGAAGAAAAAATATGAGAAAAAGAAAAAACGGAAACAAAGTCTTTGTAAATTAGAGAGGGTGGAGGGGGTGAGGGGAGGGCAGGGGTATGGGGAAAAATGAGAACCAAGATCTGTCATGTAAAGATCTGGGCACCAGATCCCAGTGATGGACGTAACTGTGCTGTATACTTAAAAAGTACCAATAAACTCAATTTAAAAAAAGATAATCAGAGATAGATTTCACAATTAAACTGGCAATATTTTCTGCAAAAACATCAAAAAAATTCACAATAGCATTTTATCTTACAGTAAAAACTGAAAACAATCCAAATGTCCATTAGCAACAGAACAGATAAATCATGTTTATACAGTGAAACACACATTCAACTGCAGGTGGTAACACAGATGATTCTCTCAAACATAAATGCTAAACAAAATTAAAGTTGCAGAAGAACATGTACCATGGTAGTACCACAGTATCATACCACTTATATAAATTCAAATGTATATAAAATTTGTGAGCCAAATTAAACCTTTCCTCCTAAAAATAAAAAGTAAAATTGTTGGACATGGTGGTGGATACCTATAATCCCCACACTGGGAGCTGAGGCAGCAGGATCACAAGCTTGAGTCCAGCCTGGGCAACTAGAAACACAGTGAGATCCTATCTATGGGAAAAAAGTGAGGTGAGTGGGCTGGGAATGTAGGTCAACATAAAGGGCCTGGTTCAATCATCAGTATCTCCCCTCAAGAGGAAATTAACTGTATTATTTATATAGATATATGATCGAACTCTTAAACCAGTTACTTCTTTTAATCCTACTGATTTTTTTTTTGGTACCAGGGATCTAACTCATGACTTTGACAGGCAGCACCACTGAGCTAAATCCCCAGCCCTTTTGTTCCTTTTTTTTGCCAGTGCTATGATTGAACCCAGGGACACTCTATCTCTAAGCTACACTCCCTGCCCTTTTTTATTGTGACATAGTCCGGAGAAGTTGCCCAGCCTGCCCACTTTCCTTCCGTTTTAAGTAGTCACTGGCACTTTAATCACATACAAGTCTTAAACTTAGAAAGATCCAAAGCCAAAGTCAATGAGTAAGTCCCCACTGGTATTCCTTTTTAACAGATGTAGTTTTCTGTGGCAAATTGGACCCACAGGTAGCCCAGCTACAAGGAGATAACTAGGAGAGGACGAGGCCGCAGCCAGTCGCTTGCCCTACCTGGGGAAGGAGTGAGGAGTGCTCAGAGATCACGTACACAGTCAGGGAGCCCTCCACTTGCTTCTCAGGCTGAGCTAGCACGGCTTCTGCCTCTGGAGACAAGAGCAAGTGGCACACTACATGCAACACGTACCATCTCCCCCAGTGCCCAGAGTGCCTAGGCCACCCCTCATTTCACAGCTGGCACTGTGGCCAGATTTGTGACAGCCAGTCTAGTTCTTGGGCCTTGACTGGTCCAGGCTAAAACTCAAACTACCACATTCCTAGCTTTCCTGGAGATGCTTTGGAGATAAGACAAAGCATGGAAATTATACATTTAAAAATCAGCAGGATGGCCAAGGATTCAGCTCAGGAGCACTGCATCTGCCTTGCAAGTGCAAGGTCCTGAGTTCAATCCCTGATATCAAAAA